CAAATCAGCCGGTCCCAAACAATGGGGGAATATACAACGCTGCTCCACAACGGGCAAATCAGCCGGACCCAAACAATATTCACGCACTTTTCGCGGACAATCAGTTTCTTGCAGAACAAAGAGCGGAACTCCAACGTTTGGAACTTCAGCGTCAAGCGGTCGCACTGAGACGGGTGAGGGAAGAGGCACAAAGAGAGATCTTTCTGCGGGAAACGGAGAGACGTCTTGCAGAACGGGAGGCACTTGAAGCTCAGAGAAGGCAGGAGACTGAGAGGAGGCGGGAGGAGGGTGGAGGTTGGTGTACTATCATGTAGTGTAGCGAATTTGCTAAGATGACGGCGGGAGCCCAATTCATCAGTCCCCGCATGGATGAAAGAAGCTAGATATCGTATTGTCAATCGGACAAGTAAATTAAACAAGTTAGTAACTACAACCATCTTAGCTGCAAACACTGCTTTCTACACGATGACACCTCTTTTGGTATAGTGAGTTTTGTGTACTATGGTCAATCCGTACAGGAGGAAAATGTGGGTGTAATGCTGGGTATCAGGGGAAGCGGCGAAAAAGTGCGGAGTCTCAAGGCCACCAATCTGACGGAACCCCAATCAGCGTGACAGCGTCAAAGCCATCGCTGACATGCTTAGCGAGACCAAAGTTGCCTTGCCCAACTCTCAGTTTTTATCGATCCTGCGGCTGCGCTGCTGGTAGCGGAGGCCGATGTGGAGGACAATGATGTGGAAGACGAGGAAGAGGCTCGCTAGCCTGACGCGACGGCACTGCTAGATATAACCTTGGGCGCAGCGACAGTCTTCTAGGGATCCTTGAGCGCTCCTGAACCCCATGAAATTGCGGTGCCATCTGACTGGGTAGCACCGGAAAGGGCAACGGAGACACCTTTGGGAAAGGCAACGGTGAAGCAAGTGGTCCACGTCTTGTTACTGACTACGGATGACGTTTACTGGAAGAAGTAAATATCGGGGTATGTTGTTGCCTAGTGGGATATCTAGTCAATTGCTTCGTTCAGCATCACATTGGTTCTAGCAACTCACATCTGGGAAAGTATAATTCAGTAGTTCCATCTTGCTTAGTAACAACGGCTGAGGGCGGATGTCAGCCAGTGTTGGTTATGTTGAATACAGAGGGGACATGCTGGTAAGGAAGACCACATTGTAGTTATCTCATCATAAGCTCGATGGGCATTTTCTTCTAGATCGTTTTGAAGACTGTCACCCTTCCATGTCATCATCAAGCACGACGCGCCTCCGTTGAACTTTGTGCCTGGTCTTAGGGGATGACAACTGTGCCGACGAAACTGAGAGGTGTCGAGACAATCCCCAGAAACAAAGTTATCGTCAAAATTGCGAACATCTTTTCGGGGAGAAGGGAAGAAGACGTCTTGATTTGAAGAAAGGATGCATTGAAATTGTAGATTGGCGTATGTTTAACAAGGATTCGCCCTACGCATGGAAGTTCAGCTCAAAAAAGCCTCCGTTCGGACGATGTAGCAAGCGGCTGTGGTGTCTTGAGCATTATCGTGGGCGTTCGCTGCGAGAGACGATTGTGTCACAAGTCAACAGCGTGATTAAGTACGGCCTCATTCAAGTCTCATCAGGCAGTCACCACTCGGACCAATAATTGAAATTGGAGACGGTTTTTCAAAGGTTGGACTCATTTTCACTTTACTGACATTACCAGGTTCAATTCTGACAGATACAACTCCGACCAGGGCCTGTTCCAAGCATTTTATGCCTCAATCGCCCAGTGGGCTTTGTAAGGCTATTCCTTGGAACGCCTTTTTTCGTGCCGAACGTGAGCGCCTGATGTCTGCCATAAACTATTATTGGTGTTCTTTTCTAAGTAGCGCCCCCGCGCGGCAATCGATGAACAACGTGTCCTTGCCAGCAACCCCCATCCATGCCCGAGGAATCCCTTCCGCAAGGTACTTCTGGTACTTATGTATCACCAACTAGACAATCTTGCCGTTATTTCCTAAATGGCGGCCACTGTCCTTTTGGAGAGAGATGCAGATACCTCCATATCAAACGTTCTGTATGTATATTTCACGATTTCAGGATATATCACGTAATTCTCATTCAACTTGTCTACAGGAAATGCCACCTTCCCACCCCAGGGCGACAGGACAGTATAAGAGGGGCCAACCGGACAACCAAGAAGGTCAGGCTTCGTTTGAAATGCGAACGAGCTTGGAAGATCCTTTGTCAAACCCTCGATCTGCGTAGGTTTTTGATCTGTATCTAAGTATTAAACCACGGGTACTCATAGTCGCCCTCCAGTGCAGAGCCGCGCGACTCGGAATACGACTCCACCGCTTTGGCGACCACCATACCCACAACTGTCACCATGGCTCCGGCGTCGACCGATCCTAATCAACATGACATCGACACTACTCAAAAGCCTAAACACAATATGCCTGGACCGCTGAATGATAGAAATGTAGTACCCCACGTGCTCTTCAACCAGCAGCAGGAGCAAGGACCCCCTCGCGGAGGAGGCTATGGAGGCCCAAGCCGGCGAGGGCGTGGAAGAGCTCAGAGAGTGAGAAATTCTGTCGAGGCTACGCGTTCACAGAAGCAGGAGGAAGAAGAGGATGGGACACCAGAAAGGACGAGAGAAGAACGTGGAGATGCCCAGCTAGCAGGGCATGCCCCAGAAGAAGGCGCACGTCGGTCAAGAATAAAGCTGCATGTCAGAGCGGGACGAGACGAGGCTGAACGGAAAGTAGATGGAGGACAGGAGGAAGCCGCATGGAAAATCAGAGTTGAACAAGAGGAAATTGAGCAAAAAGCCAAAGAAGAACGACAGAAACTTGCACGGAAAGCGAGAGAAAAACGGGAGGAAAAGATTGCACGAAAAGTGAAAGGAGAGCGAGAGGAAGCTGCACGAAAAGCAAAAGAAGAGCGAGAGGAAGCTGTGCGGAAAGCGAGGGAACAGCGAGAGGAAGCCGAACGAAGAGCCTGGCAAGCCCAGCTAGCAGAGCGTCGAGCACAAGAAGCTCGGGTGACTGTGCAGCAGGTGGTTTTAGGCTCCAGCTTGGTGACATGCGGTGCAGGCATCAACATTCTTAGTGTTATAGGCGCTTTCGATCTTTGTCGAATTCTCGTGAAGCGCCTGCCGAAAAAAGCTAAAGCGAATGAAGTGGTGGAGATTTTCTCCCAACAGGGTGTGGATCCAAAGGACTTTTTTCTGCTTCACATGAAGCGCAATGATGGGCATACAGAGGCAACGGTTCTGGTGAGGGTGGAGCAAGGCGAAGCCATGGCGCTTGGATTGGACGGCGTCGAATTTCGAGATAAGCATTTACAAGTTGAAGTCAGCGCGAATGCATCCTGGGGTTCATCGAGCGACAACTCCAAAACTCTGACCATCAACTGGAAAAATCCATCCACGACAATAATTGCCACATACACGTCGATTGACCAAGCAAGAGTCATGGCCAAGGAGCTTGATGGGCAAATTTGTAATGGGCGCAAAGTCAGAGCAGTCATGGATCAGCCACGTCGAGGTCTGCGCCACAACCCAGGTTCAATCAAACTCACGAATCTGCTCCCAAATGTTCCATTAGCTGATATTGAGCAATTCTCCAAAACATCCTGCCTCCAGACCGTCTCTTCCCCGACATACGATGCTCAAGAATTCACGGAATTTCTGCACAGTTACCTCGAGGATTGCCCTGGCGTCGTTCCCCAGTCATTCGTCAGCATGCCCAGCAACGAAAGGGATGACAACGTCCGCGTAAAGGTTCGGTTTCATACCTGGGAGGCAGCAAAATCTGTCTCAGATACGCTGGACAAGACCAAGCTCCCGGGCCGCCATGATTACCCTTTACTTAAAACCAGCATTCCACACGTGCAATACAAATCTCAGAGCAAGCTATGGAATTCGCTCATGGAGGGGAGAGAAAACGGCATGGCTGGTCTTCACATCCACCAACGCCCGAATGGTCGTGTGATTATTAAGGTTACGGGGGATGACAAGAAAGCAGTGGGTGCTCTCAAAGTCAGAGTCGAAAGTCTCGTTGGCGGGGAGCGTCTTGACGCCAGCTATTGGCACCACTCCCTTCTCTCGGCCGCTGGACAACGGTTCCTGCGTCAAGTCCATACGACTTGCGGGGCCTACGTCCGAACAGATACAGGCTTTGAGAGTTTACGGCGATACCGAAATGTTGGACAAAGCCAAGGAGTTGATCAAGGAAGAAGTCAAAAGGCTCTCGTCCCTGGAGAGGGTTATTCCGCTCAAACGACAATCTGTCCGATACTTCGTAATTCGAGGATTAGCCGCCTTGAAGGATGTGCTCGGAGAGGACAATGTCTCCCTTGACTTAGCTTCCACACCCTGCAAGCTGATAATCAAGGGCGGAGATGAAGCTCTTCACCCCGAACTTCTGGATGAATTGCTCACAAACTCAAGACTGGATAAAAGTTATGCAGCGAATGGGGACGACATCTGCATCATCTGTTATGACACGGTTTCACATCCCGAAAGCCTTGGCTGTGGACACACATATTGCACTACGTGCCTTCGGCACTATCTGACCTCGGCGCCCGACACAAAGAAATTTCCACTCGTTTGTATGGGCAATGAGGCCACCTGCGACACACCGATATCAATTCCCATCATCAAGAAGTTCCTCACTGAACAACGATTCAACAACCTCATCGAAGTTGCCTTCCTCTCATATCTCGACCAGCATCCACAAGAATTTGGGTACTGCACGACTCCGGATTGTAGTCAGATCTACCAAAGCAATTCAACCAAAACAGTCCTCCAGTGTCCTTCTTGCTTCTCAACCATCTGTCCTTCGTGCCATGTGGAAGCCCACAAGGGTATGACATGTGATGAAAGAAAGCTTCACGAACAAGAAAGGTTGACCAAAGAATGGGCTGCTACAAATGGCGTCAAGAAATGCCCGACCTGCAGTGGCTGGTTAGAGAAGACGGAAGGATGCAACCACATGTCGTGTAAATGTGGCGCTCACATTTGCTGGAGGTGTATGGGTGTCTTCACTGCAGAAACAATCTACGACCACATGCGAAGAGAACACGAAGGAATATACGACGTTGCTCCACAGTGGGCAAATCAGCCGGGACCAAACAACGTTCACGCACTTGTTGTTGATGACCGGTTTGTCGCGGCACAAGAGGCGGAACTTGAGCGTCTGGAACTTCGACGTGCACAGAGACTAGCGACTCCGAGGGAGAGAGTTGAAGAGGCAGTAAGAGAGAACCTTCGGCGGCGGCGTCAGGAAATGGAGAGACATATTGTAGCACAGGAGGAGGTACTTGAAGCCCAGAGAGGGTAACAGAGGGCGAGAGAAGGACTCCAGGAGGTTTTGGTTGTATTACATAATGTAACGGATGAAATTTGAAAGTTCAAACTGTTCAGCGAACAATCTGCGAACAATATAATAGCAAAACGAGTCCTCATTCAAACGTCGGTGCGCGTAACGCTACAGTCGCCACAACCATCTCAGCTGTACGCTACTTTTGAACACACCACCTAATCACTTTGTGCCAGATCAGCTGACGATTTTTTTTTTCAGTGCCCCAGTAGAGCGCCGCAGGCAAACATCTGTTGACTTGGAAGATGCATTTACACGGATTTTGCACGTTGACTCCTACTGTAACCATTATACCCCACCAGCACAAAAGCAGCTTATTCTCGATCTTTTCCACTTCAGGACTGAAGAGCATCGACTACGAGAAGGATGTGACTCTTGCACTGGCGTATTCAAGAAAGAGTATTAGCAGCTTTGAGGACGTCAAAGGAAGCAAAACCATAGTAGCGGACGCGACTGCCTCAAGGTATTTACTTACCTGAAGTCCGACACCGCGACATCGGCCCCGCGCCAGCATAACCACAATTGGGTTTATCGACTGGATCTTTCAAGGGTTTATAGGCATACAATACTGCCTAGTGAAAGGTGAGTTTGAAGTTGACACAATTTTAGTTGGATTCCAATGAATCATGCTCAGGACGCGTTCTCTAGATGTACAATCTTGAGGCGGGCAGAATGGAGCTCAAGGCGTATTTGCCTCGGATGTACTTCTTTCGAAGCCGTCATCCTGATGGGTGACGCATTTTGTCTCAAGAATAGGATTCATATACGCAAGTTGCGATGGACTATTGCCTGCAGACTAGCCATGGCAGCCACCCTCAATAGGCTTCTTTCAGCCCACGAAGGCTTCCCTAACCACCACCTTCTTATCACTGCCATCATATTCGGATTCGTCTGGCTGGTCCACTGTCTCGGCGAGACTCGTAACGTGCGTTTACTGAAGCCTTCACATTCTCAGTAGGTTGACCGCCCATTGTAGCTGAAGCACATCCCTACCTTGGGATTCGACTGGCCAATTTTATACTATCTCGACACACTTCGCTACTTTTCCAATGGAAAGACCTATGTTGACGAGACCGTTGCCAAAGTACGTCGTAAAGCTCAAAACCGTTCTGACACTGACGAAATATGATAGTTCCCGAATCAAGTCATCAAAATACCAGATTTTTTACATTGGAAGGTTGTATTGTCTGGGTCTGATGCAATTGAAGAGCTGCGTTCAGCCCCCGAGGATGCGCTATCGCTCTCTGATGCGCAAGATGAGGTATCTGATTTCTGATTCCAGGGTAAGTGTACTTTTGCTAACGATCTGGCTGTTGATAGTTTCTTCAAACGGTTTACACACTCGGCCCCGGCTTCAGCGAAGCACCACACCACGTATCTATTGTCAGGTCACAACTCACTCGGGCCCTTCCAAAATTTGTTCCAGAAGTGCATGACGAAATCGTCTCTGCTTTCGATGAGTTGATCATCTCACCCAATGATCACGGTGAGCTACCTTCTGCAGGAGGCCTTCTCAGTAGTCCCTTACAAAGTCATGACTAGGTTGGAAGAGCTTTACGGCTTTAAAAACGATGACGGAGGTGGTATGCCGAGCAAGCAACCGCGTCTTCGTCGGCCTTCCTTTGTGTCAGTCAGCCCCCATTGTCAATGTCACGGAATCCTCCTTTCCAACGTTGTTTCCTTCAGGCCGCAACCCAGAATACCTCAAGCTTAGCATACAATTCACTACCGAAATTCTCGCCATGACCACCTTTCTTCAGTTGGTACCACGACTCCTAAGGCCGTGAGTATTACTTGAACTTTCTTCAATCCAAGTTCTGAAACCCAATCAGCGGCAATAGGGTTGTCAACCGCTTTTATTCAAGGCTTCCGGGACGTTTCCAGCAAGGGGTGAAGCACCTCAAACCTATTGTTGACGCTCGCAGGGAGGAACAGGAAAAAGTAGGAGATGGGTATGAGAAGCCGGTCAGTTTTCTTACTTCCTTTAACCTCGATCCCGTTGCTCAACTAGTGTTAGCTTGACTTTCTATCATGGCTTATGGACGAAGCGAAAGACGAAGAGCAAACCATAGAAAGTCTCACGAGGCGCGTCTTAGTTGTGAACTTCGCGGCTATTCACTCATCTTCAAATGTAAGTTATTCCAGGTCGACGCCTCTTCGGTTACTTGCCGCGTGTTGGGGGTTACATAGTCGTTTGTCCATGCTCTCTTCTACCTAGCTGCTTTACCCAAATATATGGCACCCCTTCGCGCAGAAGTTGAGGAGGTCATCAAACGAGAAGGCTGGAGCAAAGAAGGCCTAGATCAGATGCACAAGGTCGACAGTTTCACCAAGGAATCACAGCGAATGAATCCTATCGGAAATCGTCAGTTTTGCTCTTTCTTGCGGATAGTTTACGCTGACGACTACCATTTCAACAGTCCTGATGGGGCGTGTTGCTCGGAAGGATTACACATTCGCGGACGGCACCTTCGTTCCCAAAGGAACCACAGTCTGCGTCAACTGTACGCCAGCTCACAACGATCCAGAAAAGTACGACAACCCCGATCGGTTTGACGGCTTTCGTTTTGCGAAAATGAGGCTGTTGCAGGATGGGAGGAAATACGATATAGTCACCACCTCCCCAGAGTTCGGACATCGACGCCATGCATGTCCCGGACGTTTCTTTGCTGCCTGCGAGCTCAAGATCATGCTTGCGCATACAGTTCTCAACTACGACGTGAAGATGGAGAATGAGGGTGTGCGGCCTCCTGATCTGTGGTTTGCATCGGCCTGCATAGTACCCAATCGGAAGGCGAAGGTAATGTTTCGCAGACATGCAAGGTAGGGAGAGATGCTATGAAGGGCTAGTGTATATTGTAATCATACGTTATTCGCTCAGCATACATGAAGTCCGATGGAACACAGGCCTTCCGAAACCCGATCTGTCCACGACGTCTGTGTAAGGGAGGGATACAAACCCTCTGCGCAAGAGATCGTGGTCATTGCATGGGTCAACTAGGCACCGAATATGCCGCATCTTGGTTTTGATCGTCCGAGGATAGCAGCTCGTCTCCAAAGTTTGAACGCGTGTCGTCTCAGCCTCAGACGCCTTTGTTTGACCGTGCCCGTCTTGTGCCGGTCGGATAGGGAGATTGTGATATCCAAGAGCTTCTCCTAAGTAATTTTCTGGTATTTCCGTTCAAGGAGGATGGGGAAGAGGGTGTGCACCGCGGTAGGGATTGCCGACATTGACGCCAGGTGACAAGATCTTGAGAGCTAAGAGTACATTACGCCCGGTGAGTGTTCTCGCATGTCCAGGACAGTCCAGCCTGAAGTGGAGAGTAGCAATAATCTCGGCGAAACACTTCGGTGGGGTCTAAAGTAGACGCAGGGCTACTTGCACTGTTTGGCACTCTCAAGAAGAAGAAAAAAGTTCGCGCTTAGAATTCGACATACCGTTTGGGTCTCAAGCCAAGTGTTGTGATTTCGGAGTTCGAATCACACCCAAATCACAGCCGCCCGCGCCAACACTTGTCCCGCAAATCAGTGGTATCATGACCTTTTTGACCTCGGCCAAAAGGTCAGGCCGAAAAACGGGTCATGGCCAAATTGACTGGGTCAGGCCGACGGTCAAGGGGGTCAACGGTCACGGGAATTGAACTCAAGAAGCAGCAGAGCTGCCAAAGACTCTTCCAGATCCGCTGGATTTGACAGGTCACGGGAAATGCCTTCTGCACCACTCACCCAACTTCGTCCCCAGCGTAGGGTCTTGAGTACATGGTGTAGATATTGTAAATTTTAGGGAATATTACATTCAAAGCTCATAAATGATATTGAAATGGCTTCAGGTCTTTTTTTTTTTCCGAAAAACAAAGGTCTGGTGAGTTTTTTTACTCATTTTCGTTCTGGCCAGCTGGTTCTCACGACCAATTTCTGACCGGTCAGTCCGATTTATGGCCATTTTGACCGTTTTTTGACTGACCCCGGCCTGACCGGTCATGACCCGGGTCATTGACACCACTGCCGCAAATCACACCAAATCACACTTTTTGCAGCGCCTCCCACGCCAAATCACACTTTTTTCCAGGACAAGTCACAAAACGGACCCGCCAAATCACAGTTTGGATCACACTTTTTGGCGGGTGGGAGACTCGACTTGTCCTGGAATCACACCTCCCACCCAACACTTGTCCTGGACCCTGACTGTTTTCTCTCGTGCGCTAATTCCCTTTCCGTTGCCGCCTAGCTTGTACTTACATAGCTCCCTTTACCTTGTAAAATAGATCACAGGTAGAAGCCTCTCTCATAAATTGAATACATGAACTGCATTTCCACTGAGCTCCACGTGAACAGCTATTTCCAGCATCAAGCTTTGGCTCCCGGAAGACCTACAAAATTTACACCGTGAGCTGGCTCGAATTTTATGTTCTTGGGCTTTACTTGACGCTGACTACCACAGGGAGCGCCTCCCGAGTTTACGAAATAGAACGCCCATCCGTTCAATTTTGGCATTCGGTTTTGTGGTGAAACAATGCCCATAACCAGAAATTGAGACTAGCAGGTAAGTTCATGCTCGATTTTCACGTTCTTGGGCTCTACTTGACCAAAATTGCTTCAGGAACAACCTCCCGAGTTTTCGAAACTTAGCGCCTAGCCGTTCAAAGTCAGCGTTCGATTTTGCGGAGAAATAAGGTCTATTACCAGAAATTGAGACTTGCAGGTAAGTTCTTGCTCGATTTTCACGTTCTTGGGCTCTACTTGACCGAAATTGCTTCAGGAACAACCTCCCGAGTTTTCGAAACTTGGCGCCTAGCCGTTTAAAGTCGGCGTTCGATTTTGCGGAGAAATAAGGTCTATTACCAGAAATTGAGACTTGCAGGTAAATTCTTGCTCGATTTTCACGTTCTTGGGCTCTACTTGACCTAAATTGCTTCAGGAACAACCTCCCGAGTTTTCGAAACTTAGCGCCTAGCCGTTGAAAGTCAGCGTTCGATTTTGCGGAGAAATAAGGTCTATTACCAGAAATTGAGACTTGCAGGTAAGTTCTTGCTCGATTTTCACGTTCTTGGGCTCTACTTGACCGAAATTGCTTCAGGAACAACCTCCCGAGTTTGCGAAACTTAGCGCCTCACCGTTCAAATACAGCGTTCGATTTTGCGGAGAAATAAGGTCTATTACCAGAAATTGAGACTTGCAGGTAAGTTCTTGCTCGATTTTTACGTTCTTGGGCTCTACTTGACCGAAATTGCTTCAGGAACAACCTCCCGAGTTTGAAAAACATGGCGCCCAACCGTTCAAATTCAGTGTTCGATTCTGCAAAGCAATAAGGTCTATTACCAGAAATTGAGGCTTAAAGGTAAGTTCTTCCTCGATTTTCACGTTCTTAGGCTCTACTTGACCGAAATTGCTTCAGGAGCAACCTCCCGAATTTGCGAAACGTGGCGCCTCACCATTCAAATACGGCATTCGGTTCTGCAGAACAATAAGGTCTCTCACCATAAATTGAGGCTTACAGGTCAGTTCTTGCTCGATTTTTACCTTCTTGGGCTTTACTTGACCGAAATTGCCTCAGAAGCAACCTCCCAAGTTTGCGAAACATGGCGCCCAACCGTTCAAATTCAGTGTTTGGTTCTGTGGAGAGATAAGGTCCATTACCAGGAATTGTTGTTAACATGTAAGTTCTTGCTCAATTTCTACGTTCTTGGGCTCTATTCAACGGAAATTGCTTCAGGAGCAACCTCCCGGGTTTACAGACCATGGCACTCAGCCGTTTAAACCAGGTGTTTGATTCTGTGGGGAAATAAGGTCCCTTGCTGGAAATCGTGGTTCACATGGAAGTTGTCACTCGTATTTTATGTTCTTGGGCTCAATATAACAGAAATTGCTTCAGGAGTGATCTGCCAAATTAACGAAATGTGGCACACCCTTGTTCAGCTTTAGCATTCGGTTTTGTAGAGAAGTATGGTACATATTACTACTAACGTGGCTGAGTAAAGTATGTGTGTAAGACCAAGTAACGGGGAACAATTATAAGACGACGCAATAGAGACGATTCTTGAAGATGTTTGTATGTTACAGTGGATGAGAAGTTTGACATTACTTGACAAAAAAAATGAAGAACCAAGAAGAAAAGACAAAGAAAAGAAGTTGATGATACAACGAACGGATAACTAATCTTTAAGTGGCCATGATGATGTCCCCAGAGGAGGGAGAGGAGGGAGCACTAGATTCTGGGGAAGGGCCATTTACCTTGTCCTTCTTCTGCCGCTTTGTTTGGAGTTTGCGATGAAGCTGCGGCATTGATAGCATAAGACGTGTATCTTCAAGAACTTGGACAGCTTGTGAGGCCGTAAGCCCAGTGCTAATGGAGGTCTCTATCCGACTGATGAAAAACTGAAATTGAGACCATTTTTGACGGGCCTGAAGAGGCAGATTAATGTTGCATTGAAAGGTGAACAATGTGAAAAAAGACATACAGTGGTGTTTTGGCGAGGACGCCATGCAGCATGGTGCCCCTTGTTTGACCGCTTGTCCTTGCGAGAGCCCCATTCAGTCTCCACCATCCGCAATGGAGGCTTGCGACCAATCCCTTCAATAGCCGTGCCCTCATCCCAGCACTTCCAAAGAGAGCCAACATCAGGAAATTCACCCAATTTGCCTGGGCCCCAACAATCCCAAAGAAAATCGGGATGGACAACAAGGCTGAACAGAGCCTGCCATCCACATGATGATGCAGAAAAGCCAGGGTAAGCAGTCACGGTAGTCTGGTCAGACGCAAATGCTGCTGCTGGGGGCAGTATGATGTCAAAGGGTGTGGGTGGCGCCAAGGGACCAGGGGAGAGCCGTAACACATAATACTTACTGCCTTTATGGTTCACAGACACTACATATCGTGATTGAGTGGAAAGCACTTCTGGATCGACTACGGGAGGTGGTAGCATTATATTTTGGAATTTCGGCAGTGGCGAGGTTGGTGAGATTTGACTCGGGGTGGCTGCAGTGGCAGCCTGGAGTGGCATACTCGCACTTGCCACCATAGTCTGAATAGAGGGAGGCTGCGGCGACGAAAGGTTGGAGTGTGGCCCTGTTGGGCTGGGGGTAGCTGAGCGAGAGCTAACAATGGCCACATGAGTTTTTACACTACGCGATGGAGAGAGCGGCTCAGTTCGACGTGCAATAACCTCGAGCAATGAGTGGGATAACTTGACAGCTTCTGACAGCTCTCTCTGTGATGTTGAAAGGGAGAGGAAGGCGCTCTGTGTTGCGACCTCCTTGAAGTTTGCTGCGATCTCGGTATCTACCTGAAACTGGGCCTCGACTTCTTTCTGAGCATGAGGCCATTGTGAAATGAACTCGGAAACCAGGGACGACTTAAAAACGGGCATGCGACTGAATAGCGGTGAGTCGGGAAATTTTTCGTGGATGGCGGCACTAGCCTGGCAAAGATTGAGACAGTGAGAATTAGAAAAACTAAGTGGAGCGATGAGATGTAGACACACCCGCCAGAAGAAAGGGCGAAGCTGTTGCAACAGCTCAACAAAATTGACCAAGCCCTGGTTGACGCGTGCCTTCCCTTTGAGCTCAACAAGCACCCTCTCCGCAAAAGGAAACAATTGGGTTTGGAGCTCATTGGGAACAGCAACAGTGGCCCAGGGAACATGGTAAGCCTCCCCAACGTAGAAACCTGCCAATGCCATAACCGCCTAACAACTTAATGAGTTTCATTTGAGGAACAATTGTACAGGAGAAAACTTACAGACTTCGGAATCTTGGCAGAATAAACCTCGCGTTGAACGGTACTCGCCCAGTGTCCGATGGCACCGATTTCATCCATTGTAACACTGCAAATGATGAGCAGTGGCCGGCACACAATCAAATCACAACATACCCCATCTCTTCAAGGTGGGTAGGGATAGTCTTGCACGCGAGATGGAGCTTCTTTTTTGATTTGATGGACGTCGATTCGAGGAATCTTGTGTACATTTTTCGGAGGGCATCGTCACCACAGGCCTTGCCCACTGTCTTTCCAAACATAAGCTTTACCTGATAGTTTGGTTCAGTAAGGAGAAAGATAGATTTCGGATGAAGGTGGACTTGCCTTGTGCCAGGTCAACGGGCAAAACCAGTTCCAATCCTCAATCTTCTCGCACAGGTTCTCCTGGTCAAATACATAATGCAAAAGGATCGCGAGAGCTCCAACAGAGCAACGGAGTGGATTGCGGTGCGGCAGCATGAAGTTGTAGTCTGGTTCCTGCTTCTGTTGTCCTCGTCTCAGCAAGATATAACACAAACAATACAAGTAAACTACAGACTCCTGGCTTCGAAACCTTTGTCTCATGATAAAGGGAAAGTACACCAAAGTAATATTTACCAACACTGCAGTGTCGCCCGTCAGGTGTTGTGTAATTAGGGACAAGCAGGGAATGAGGTTGAAGGCAGCTGAGCAACAAATTGATGAGCTCGTCGCCACAGTTGAGAGTGGTGCACTGCCAAGTCCAGCTAAAGTGCGCCTTAATAATTGATGGAACTAGTCAGATAATGTTCTTAGCAATGGTAGAGAAGAAATGAAAGGAAACTCACATTGATCAAGCTTGGTGAAGATAGCGAATGTGATCTCTTCAAAGTGCACGGCGTGCAGCTGTGAGTCCAGTATGGTGTTTTCGCTGATGTCGAAAAACTCGTCCCTGGAAAGTATAGTTTTGAGGAATAGAAAATATAAGTGGAGAGAAGTGGCTTACTCGAGGCGCAAGCGCTGAGATTCTACCATAAGGGCCTTGTAAAAATCCTGGCTCCTTGATGTTGACGTGGGCCGGCGTGTTTGCAGGGTGGGGTCGTCGTCGCACTGTTGCCGCCGAACACGGCTGAGCATGGTCATGTTCTTTTTTAATGATGACTATGGCACGAGCATGTCAGTGAGTGTGGCTGAAACAAAGAGGAAAGTCGCTGACCGAAGATAATCGCGCTGGGCCCTCCTTTGGGTGACCTCGTGTTGTGAGGAGGCTCCTTGTCGCAACGTATTTTAGGTATTCCATAGTGTGGTTGGCATCGACAATGTGGTCAGGGATCGTGCCCGCGGCAATTGCTATGGGTACCCAGCACTACCATGCAGGCATTAGTCGCATCCTCTTGCATAGAAAAGAAACATACCCGCCACAGAGAGAGCACGCTCTTCTCTGTTTGCCGCCCACTTTTTCGCCTTGTGTCCATGATATATGCATCGATCTAGAATCCAGTCATAATTAGCAGATAGAAGAAGCTTGAGGTGGTAAGCACGTACCCAAGCTTTCGAGCTTTCTGTTCCTGTAATGAAAGTGGATGTTACTCAAGACATTTTGTCAGATGAAACAGAACTCACCCAATGTATCAATCTCCATAGAATCCTCGTGTGGCCCATCGTCGCCTTCGTCATCACCCCGGCCATCCTCATCGTCACTCTCTTCATCCAGACCATCATCTGTGTTCTCGAATCCGTGGTTGAAGGAGTCTTGCATTGCCTTTGCGACATCGACTGATTTGTCCGTCTCAGTGGCGATGGCCCCCA